CCTTGATTGCTCAAGATGATTTAAGAAATGATAGCTGAGTTCTCCTAGAATGAGATTTTAAAATGCCCCAGGATGCCATTGAATTATGCCTCACAGAAGGACTAGTCTACAGTTGAGACTTTGCCTCACCATCTCATCCACACCCACAACGGGATTCGGTACAGAGTTTTGGGTGTCGTGGCGAAGTTGCCACAATAATTCTGTTAAAAAGCCATTGGTGTCAGTGAACCACAAGGCAGATATGACAATCAATGCAAGTCAAGGCAGACCTCGTATAAATCACATTTATATTGAGATTGTGGTAAAGCAAACATGTATTTCCCATTGCAATCGACGTAGTTACTTATTTTCACTGTAAGTTGTAAGTCTCAAAAACCGTGTATACCAAAGAGAGTAGTCATTGGTTATTTTCTGGTGTACTATTTATAAAGTCGAAAGATTGCTTGATCCTGGGTGAATTTAGGCTTATGCGAAATATTAAAAAAGTTGCGTCATTACAGCTGGTTTCGTGCATATATGAACGTATGAAGGCATATAGGCAAACATAATCAGACACATTTGCATGCCTTTAGATGTACATATGACTTAAACTAATCAAATTATTTTATGCTTCAGCAAAAGAGCATATATCTATGGTATATATACAGCATTTATGGATGATTCGATGAGTTTTCGTGGCTCGTTATCTTGAATAGAATTTTTAAAATGATCCAAAGATGTTCTTAAAACGATATGACACATGGAAGTTCATCACGCCCTCATCGGAAATAGAGAGAAGATTGCCTTGCGGACAGCGCCAACAATAATGTTCTGGTACAGCCAAACCATGACTGGCCGAGAGAAATCCGCCGTCGTCTTCTGCTGGGATCCACTCTTCAATCTCTGCTCCACACACATTTTCACCCGAAATGGAAGTGAGACAAACAGCTAACGTTTGGACAAGGCCTGTACCCCCAGTTTCTTTTATGGCCCAATGTTGTCTGGGCCGTGATTTGTCTGAGAGTGACATTTCATCCTGGACCCACTGTCCAGCTTAAACTGCCCCTCAAGACTGAAGGTCATTAGCAACGATCCGGTTTCGGATGGCAGCAAAGCAGCGTAAGTAATCACAATCACTTCAACCGGTTAACTCTTCTTCAGGACGAAGTAGGAGTTGAAAGTGATGCTCACGATAAGAGGTGTTGTTATTTTCACTTCAACATTTCAACCGGAATTGCCTCTTTCTTACTCCTCCACATGCACCCCAAGGAAGCAGATTCTATTTTTGCAAAGATTTAATTCAACCTCCTGTGGCGACTTCATTTTCTTCCTGCTCAAACAGCAAGAGTTCGGCACGACTTTTTGGCCTTAATTATGTATCTGTCCAGGAGGTGACGAGTGGCCCTCGGAAAACGCTGCTTCAAGGCTCATAAATCTGACATCCTCGCATTGTATGTCTTGTAGGGAGTCTCAAGTTGTCTGCAGCCCCTCTTTCATTTCCCGATTCTACCGCTTTTCCTGCAGTATATCATTCCATTTTCATTCCACAGGATGGCCTTTCCCGATTTTCGGCACTACTTTACACGCCTCGAACTCTGCCATCTGGGCCCCGAGTCGGACACTCTGTCCTCGCCATCGCCGAATCGGACGAAGCGGCGTTGGGAGATGGCAAAACACGAGGGCGAGTGGCTGCGCAACGCCACGGCTGGAGGTTGTAGAAATTTCATTGGTACGTTTCGCAGTCAATCGGTGAATAGATTTAGCCGAATAGGAAATCAAGCCTAAAACGGAAGTTGTAGGCAACCCACTTTTGACCGTTCGTTTACTTTAAGTCAATCTCATTATTTCTCAACAAGGCAACCGAATTTCTATGAGTTGTCTTCACCCTATTCCTTTTAAGGTGATGAAGTTGAATTTTCCCACCATGATATGAATAAAGCTGACCTTTCCATGAGGAATTTCACATAATCTTGCTTCCCAGAATGTGTTGTCCTGACCTCGTTTTCACACCTTGCTCGGAGCGACATGGAATGTGGATTGTACCTAGTCCTGAGTCCTTTGCCATATTATTCATGATAACTTCCAACATCGGACAGATGACTTTGTACATGCCAAGTCGTTTCGTCGGCATCTCAATAAATATTGTCTATGAGAAGTGACTTTGATAAGTTGTAACTATGTCCTAAGCATGACGATGCTGATTAAGATGTCGGTGAAACGTCTGGGAATATACCGAGTCAATGGCCCGAAGCTGGAAATCATCATAAACACTCGAAGGCAGAGAACGCACGACTAGGCACTTTTCACAAGGTCTCCTTGTGGCTCCGAATTAGTTGCAAAAATGAAATCAAACCAACACAAAGTGATTTTTGGTTATGTACTATGGGACAGCATTAGCAAGAATTCCCAATCTAGTTAAACAATAAATGAGTATGTGTACAAGTTGGATAAAGCACCTTTTGGGAAAGCAAGGCTATGTGAAATCCAATGGAAACGTCTGCTCTATTCATATCATTGTGAGAAAATTCAACTACCAGTTTTTCATCAACTTAAACGAAATAGGGTCAACACAACGCATACATCTGATTTACTGGTAGTCTCGATAACCCACTCAAAAATGAAAGAAAGCGTAATTTCGGCCAAGCAAAGTTGGGCTTCGAAGCATCTCCTGCTTCATAATTGTTGAAATGAATGTAAAGCTAACCGAAAAATGGACAAGATAGATCCGCCGTCATCTTCTGGTTGGTTAGACAGGAGTCTTCACCTCACCGGGGTGATCTCAAATGTCCCATACAGTCGGGAGGAGACAAGTCTCAATAGAATGGCTCGTAGTAACTGATAAGTTGGTATACGTGACAAAAGTGAATTTTTGCCAGTTATACTTAATATGGGCCCTTATTTATTGATTAGTATCTTCGCACTTGTCTTTTAGTGATAGTATTATTCCCTATTTTAGACCTAATTGGTAAGCCAAGCTTTTTTAATTTTATATTTTAAGAGTGATTGAGCTGTTAAATGGATCTCATAAAGAGCAAATGAATAATTTGACCACATTTTAAGGTTATAAAGACTGCATACTTGAGTCATGCATTCACTTTCTATTATCTCATGATTCTGTTACACTTCTTTGTCTTTAAGACACCTTTCATCTGAACCCACAATTCCATGTACATGTCGAGGATCCTGACGAATCAGATGACGAGCACATGGGTACTCTGATAATCGGACTGATGCAAAAGGACATGCGTGAGCAGAGGCGCGAGCCCTACGTGATCGGCTATTCAATTTACAAGGTGAGTGGCATTTCAATCGTTTTTGGTTCATTTCCTTCATCCAAGGACTGTTCGAACGCTGATCTGCACTTTATATGAATTCCAGGTTTTTGTGGCCTTATTCTTGTTTAAATCTTTCTTTTGCTACGTAGTGTGAATTTGATCTCGTTTTCGCAACTAAGTCAGAGCAGAAGGACGATATTTTTTTCGGATATGCTACTCAGTTCTTTGTCCTTTGTCCGAGTATTCATGATAATTTGCAGCATTAGACCGTTGATTAGGTACATGCCTTGACCTTTCATCGGTATCGTAGTCGGCATCGTCAGTGAGAGGCGCCAACCTTATGTCAGAGCTGCAGATTTTAGCATTGACCAATCTTCCGACTAAACCTTGTGGCATCTCCCCCTATCCTAGATTCCGATGCTTTGTCCATTTCGCTGAACCCCATTTCATGGTTCCAAATCACATATCTTCATTTTTCGCATTAAGTATTGCTTCAAGACTAGCAGTAAAGCAGTAATAAGATATGAATTTACCCAATTTCGT